AATTGTAAAGTTAAAAAAGTCTCTTAAACGGTCAAAGGGTAATTTGGTCAATTTTTCATGTAAAAGGGTGTCTTTATTCATTTTTGAACCTTGAAGGGTGTTTTTGTCCAAATAAATAGGTAAGTTTCTTCTGAATGTTCTTTTGCCAAACCTCAGGGGATGTAGTTGTACTTTACTCTTAATTTTATTGACACCCTTGTGATTTGGACAAATTTCACGAGATATCTTTCAAAAATTATTATTATTCAGACTTCAAATGACTTTCTTGTCACTTTTACTGTTAAAAAAGTATAAAATAATAATTTTACCCTCATTTTTAAAATATATTTTAAATCAAAATATCAACAAATTTGAACCAAAAGATTCAACCGTATATGCCACATATTATATGGCACACGTAATATATATATATATGTATATATATCACACAGAATGAATAAAGCTTAAAAAATTGAGGGTAAAATTTTACCCTCATTTTTAAAATATATTTTAATTCAAAATATCAACAAATTTGCCCTCATTATGTGTGTGTGTGTAAGAGAGAGAGTGAGAGAAAGGACACCCATTAATGGTGAACCAAAAGATTCAACTGTGAACCCCACATATTATATGATACACATAATACATGTAATATACATCACACAAAATGAATAAAGCTTTAGATGACACACATATTATATATATATATAAGACTATGATGATTTCGAGGACCTGGATTTGAAAACTTTCCATCATTGAGTGGAGATTTTATTCACTAATGATTTGCATACAAATCTCTCACTCTCTAACTCCGAATATGACCATAAGCCTTTAGATACAAAAGTGTATGTTAAAAAGGAATTAATGAAAGATTAATGGTGTATAAGCCGAAGATATTATAATAATAAATTATTGATTGGTAATTGTGTATATTTACTTTATATCCTGTCTTTCTCAATTTATTTCTTAATACATAAATATTTACTATAAAAATTCAATTTTGCGATATGCAAAAAAAACATTGATTTTATTTGTTTCAATTCATTATCTTTGTTAAATCTTCAAAAAAACAGTTGTGAGTTTTACATATGGGTGTTCATCACTCAGACGGAGAGAAAGAGGGAAAATATATGTGTGTGTGTAAAGAGAGACATGTTGGAGGGAAAAAAAAAAATGGGTCTAATAGGGGTAGAAATGTCATTTTATACCGGAAACAATCTTTTTGTAAGTTAACATAAAATCATAAGGGCAACAATGTCATTTTACAAGTAAAAGTGTTATGACGTCACTAAAAAGTAACTTTTGGGGTGTGAGTGAAAAACGGACCAAATATTTGTAATATGAGTAATAGTAATTTTTGAAAGGTGTTTCAACGTGATATTCGATTAAACTTGAAAAGTATCAGTAAAATTAACCCAATATTTTTTTATTTTTCACCATCCCCTGTGGGCCTCAAAATTTGAGGCCTCTAAAATCTGAGGTCGAATATGACCATAAGCCTTTAGATACAAAAGTGTATGTTAAAAAGGAATTAATGAAAGATTAATGGTGTATAAGCCGAAGATATTATAATAATAAATTATTGATTAGTAATTGTGTACATTTACTTTATATCCTGTCTTTCTCAATTTATTTCTTAATACATAAATATTTTCTATAAAAATTCAATTTTGCGATACGCAAAAAAAACATTGATTTTATTTGTTTCAATTCATTATCTTTGTTAAATCTTCAAAAAAAAAAGTTGTGAGTTTTACATATGGGTGTTCATCATTCAGACGGAGAGAAAGAGGGAAAATATATGTGTGTGTGTGTAAAGAGAGACATGTTGGAGGAAAAAAAAAAAAAAAATGGGTCTAATAGGGGTAGAAATGTCATTTTATACCGGAAACAATCTTTTTGTAAGTTAACATAAAATCATAAGGGCAACAATGTCATTTTACAAGTAAAAGTGTTCTGACGTCACTAAAAAGTAACTTTTGGGGTGAATGAAAAACGGACCAAATATTTGTAATATGAGTAATAGTAATTTTTGAAAAGCTTTTCAACGTGATATTCGATCAAACTTTAAGGGTATCAGTAAAATTAACCCAATATTTTATTTTTCACCATCCCCTGTGGGCCTCAAAATTTGAGGCCTCTATAATCTGAGGCCCAAAGCGACCACCATCCTAAACCGACATCCATTGTGATTTATTGAAAGCACGACATGTTCTCCCGTAGTTTTAAAGTTACACTGTTGTCTCCATTAAGAAAATGTTGTTAGGTGACATTAACGAAAGTTGTTATATCCTAGAATTTTGCCCTTGAATTATTTAATACTTTTAAAATAAAATAATAAAAAGTTATTATTCATTTGTTTATTTGTAATGTTATGACATCTTAAAAGATATTTTATTTACTCCAATTCCATTTATACTTAGATTCATAAAAGGGTAAAATTACAAAACCCCTTGAACTATGAAATTTATAAATATATCCCGCTGTACTAAAGTAAATTTCATGAAAAAAGGAGCATGTACTACTCTTCATATTATGACCAAAATGCCTCTACATATACCCTTTTTAGCTTTTAAATTAAAAGTAAAATAGTAAAATTAATTTTGTCATTTCACAACCTAGTTAAAGCATTCAAAATAAAATGGGATCAAATAATCAGTTTTATTCGAACTGAGGATTATTTGATACTATTAGATATTATATAATTATTTGGAATAGTACCCCAATTTTATGATTTTACCCCTTAAAGAAATCGCTGTCTCAAGGTTCCAAAACTGACCTCCACTTTTTAATTTGTCCACATAATCTCATTTGTATAATTATTGGACCTATTCTTTTTTTTTTTTTTTTTTTTTCTCCTGCCGATATTATTGGACTTCAAAATGAAGTGAACGTAACAAATACATTTGGGTCCAATATAATTTTTGGGCCCACTTTCCAACCCAGCACAGCATTGCCTACCTTTTTGTCAATATTGTTTTTTGATCATTTTTTTCATTTAATATTGTTGGAGAGCAAAAATTATGGGAGTATTGAATAAACCTATTATTCTGAGAAAAAAATAAACAACCTAGAGTGTTGCAAGTTTCAATTTTTGATTCCGGAATTAGAAAGGGTGGATCAAGATTTTTATGAGTAGTAACTAAAATGTAACTATAACCACTGAGATTCTAGAGAGCAACAGATTTAGGGCCCGTTTGACAATAGCTTTTGTTTCGTGTTTTTGCTTTGACTTGAAATATAAGTGGTGTTTTTGCTTTAGAGTGTGTTCAATTCTATTTCGTAACTTGTTTGATAACGTAAATTTGTTGCAAGATTTACAGAAGCAAAAATATGAATGTCTGGTAAAAAGTGTAGTAAGTTTAAAAAAATGAATGTTATTTTAGAAAGAATCTTTTGTTGTCTTTTTTTTTTTTCAACAGTGTTTTGCTATAGTGCGAAAGCAACCAAAAGTATAATTTTTATGCTTTCAATTTTAGCTTTTTTTCAAAAGGTAGTATTTAAATGATAACAATATTACCAAATATGTTTCGTACTTTTAATTCGCTACAGTACACTAGCAAAAATAAAAAACACGAAGCAAAAGACAAACATTAGCAAACATGCTTTGTGCTTTTATTTCGTTACAGTAAACTAACAAAAACAAAAAACACGAAATAAAAGCATTACCCGAGCAGGCCCTATGCAGAAACTTGTATCTCAGACTTCGCATTACCACTCATTCAATTACACTTCAAGATAACAGTATAACACACATGGTTCTTGCAAATGTGTATAATTCAGATTGTTGAATGTACAATTGTTTTTTTTCTTTACCATGTTGAAGGTATAATTCAACCACTAAAATTTGGACTTTTCTGTTCCCAACTTGTCGATAAACCTCCATGGCGGAACTGTTCCCAATGTCTAGCCATGGGTTGAGCGGTCAATAGGTTCGAGATATGATTTACCTTACAACCATAAATTCAGAATAATGGTGGTTGGAAGAATTTAAGAATTAAAAAAAAAAAAAAAAAAAAATTCGACCATAAGGTTACGATCTTTTCCTAGCAATAAAAGAGTGCCATATTTCTTCGGTTGTCTAATTCATTTTTGTGAAGTCACATGGTGTATCTTGAACCATTTTGTGGTGGATCTAATCACTTTAGATTCGGTAGAAGTAGCTTTATTAGTAAAGTTGTAAAAGTAGAAAAACAGTACCACATCCTGGTTTTCTAATCTGATTTGACGCCAAGTCATGAAATACCCACCACCAGTCACGAGAATAATGTACTACCTACCTAAACTGGTTTTCTAGAGGCTAGTAAATAAATAAAATCAATGCATTATTCACATGTCCTAGAAGAAAAAACACATAAAGAGATAGAGACTGGAGTTTTTACTGCTGCAAATTCTTACCCCCTATTTTTTTTCCCCCTCCTTTCTGATGTGATTTCTAAGCAAAAAAATGAAATTGGATCTAATTACATTGTTAAACAATAGGAGGTCCAAAGATATATATATATATATATAAGAAAGTTATTAGCATTGTGAAACTAAAGGGCAAATGGAGGCTACTGAAGTAAATAACAAAGTGGTGGAAATAAATGCTTTTGCAGGAGGCTTTGTGGGATCACATGACCAGAACAACTAAAGCCACAGCTAAGTGAGATGAAGAGCAGCACTGAAGATGAAAAGATTCAAGTTGAGAGCACTTGATGAAAAACAGAAAAGGCCAAAACAATCATTAACACTGCTAAAATAGATAATTACAAAAGAAAATATGGTGTAAAATAGACTGAATAAACAGAACTCCCAAGTAATAGCTTGACTGACTCTTTTGCCTTCATCATTCTCGAACAATCATTCAGACTTAGTGGTAGGTTAGTAACCTGTTCTACTTTCTTTTTTCTTTTTGGGTAATATTCTCTAAAGCTTCCATTATTCCATAGCAAAAACAAACAAACAAAAAAAAATATTGAAAAAGGGTTGGCCAGAGTGAATACACTGGTTCCTATTTTTTTTTTTTAAGTATGAGTTCATAAGTTCAAAGAGGCTAATTTTTCAAGATTTGCCGAGTTTGTAACTCAAATAGCACCCACCACTGGAGCGCACACACAGACAGAGCTGACAAATGATGTTAATTTGTTTAACCTACTAAACTACATGGTCTTAACCATGGATTCTCCACTGAAGCAAATAACACTTCGGTAAAGTGGAATACGTGGGATCAAACAAGTTACAACAACAGGCTGTCACCGAACAATCCCAAAAAATGCCACTCCCAGACAACAGCCAGTCACATCCATACATCTCTTGTTCTCCCACAACCCCAAAAAAAAAAAAAAAAAAAAAGCAAACAAAAGAAAACGCACTAGGTCAAGCAGATCAAATACCACTTAACAGGCAACAGAGATTGCTAAGGAGTTACCAGTACAGCAGTATTTCCAGATATTGGCTGGCGACTTGCTGCATTCTCTAGGCACTCCCATGCTTCCTTCCGCTTCTTTGCTTCCAATGTTAGGTTTGCCTGTTCCTCCCTGAAATGGGCATCACATGCCAGAAACAGCACATCATCCATCTCTGCACACATCTTCTTCACATTTAGGCTTAAGTTGAGCACTGCTTGGTTCCAGTGGCTCTCGATATTCTTTTCCAGGGCTGGGAATATGATTGGCATGATGACATGTCGGTTATGTGCAATCAGGTTGACAATTTGGTCATTGTTCCAGAGGAACAGTGCCCTCTCAGCCACCTGAAATGATTGAATTTGGAAGAAAATATATAAGTTAGTTCCTTGTTGACATACTTGGTTAATATAAAGAAAATTCAATCATCCCAAAAGAGATACAAATAACAAACAAAACAGACCACCTTATACAAATTGACTGTGTTTTACAGATATAATACACTAAAAATATGCAATAACACATAACTAGTGTTGGCTAGGTTGTGATCCTTTTCCAAGGAACAAGGTACTTGGAAACTTCCTCAGACGGTATATTAAAAAACTCCAAAGCTTTAGGACTGCCAACATCAATCCATGCTAAGACATTATTACCAACATTATCCCCTAACAAAAAATAAATTACTTGCCAGTGAATAACGAGAGCAACATTATCCCCTTCCAAGAATCTGCCTCCTGTTGCCTTGTCAACCAACAAGCTCAAGCCATCTATCAGCCTATTTTTCAAACTAAAAAAATATGTATATAATCCTTCTCAAGGACTCCCTGGAAAAAAATAACCAAAAAGGGTGACACTCATACATAATAAGGATGCAAGCAAAAGCATCTATCCACCTTTTCTTCTGGTAAGTCAACTATCCATCTTCTCTAAATCCAAAATCCACCTTTCTCCAATATATATATATATAATAAAATAAAAAAACCCATGATATCAAAAGAAGCTTTTTGAAACCTAGCTTGCAGATTTACACTATAGTATCTCACGAAGGCTCGAGTCCGAGCAAAACTTATTAGCTATGAGCACCAAATCCAAAACCTGAATCTCTCTCCCTCAAGAACATCTTTTGACTCCACAACCAGTCTCCAATTTCCAAAACAATGCCATTATTATGAAATCATTAACTACCCACCAAACTAACTAGCTTGGTATCCTGGGTATTCACTGTACTTTTTGTCCGAAAAATCAAGTGAAGCACATCCACCATTCACCAGCAGTTATGATTTATAATATGAAGAAATTGCCATGTTGCTTGACCATCTTGATCTGATTGGGGATCACTGTTAAAATCCTCTAATCCTTTTCCATTTTCTTGCCTAAACCTAAAAGAGTCTTTCAATCCATTCTATTAGATCATGAGTAATACATAAAGCTCTGATTCCATTGAAGGCATTCTTTGACAAGCCAATCCTAGGAACATTTTACAGTGAAGATGCCTAACCCTCCCTTGACCCTCATTCCTCCTAAACTACTCATCAATCTACACTCATACAATTCCCTCTCAAATGAGAGTTTACTGTGTGATCTGAAAAAACTACATGTTGGCATCATCCTCTTTCACTCAAATTATGAGGTAATTCTCTCTCCAAGTTATAAACACCATTTTAACATACTATCTAAAATCACTTTGACATCTGAACCTGTGTACTTTTCTTGATTGCCATGATATTCTTCTTAGCATCAAGAATCAAGCCTATCAAACTCTTCTGAGGCTCAACCATCCTTATAAGTTATAGCCAATTTTTCAATAATTTATGTTTTTTGTGACTTTAGCCGATTTCTAACGTCCACAACTTTGAATTTGTATTCCTATATGTCTTTCCATTTAACCGTTAGGTGGCTTATGGATGTAAATCATACAAAACTATTACATAAAATAATCAACTGATGCACTCTGGAGCGTTGACTGTTTACTATATCTAGAAAAAGGAACTAAAGCACACCCTGATAGAAACCCGATATTTTAAGAACACGGTCTAGATGCATTCCTGCTCATTCAACTAAAAAGTGTGCAAGAATTAACATAAGTTGTGACAGATGGGTCTCAAACTTGAATCTTCATTGCAGAATTTCAGAAAGTCAATCATTGAACTTCAGAACCTTGGGCTACAATAATGTTTCTACTAGTAACTAGGGCATGGAGTGAAAGTGGGAGGGTGAAAACATGATTGTACCTTTTCTGGTCCATAATTACATGTGTGTAAACATAATAATTTAAATTATATCAATAATCTTCCTTAAAACTACAAATTAGTTGTCATGCAATATATGATGAAAGAGGAAATGATTGGAAAAGCAAAAAAAAAATGCAAGCTACAGAATCCTTGATTAAACCAATAAAAAAGGGTCATCGGTGGTGGTGAAGGGGCACAAGAAGAATAAAGATAAAATTGCCAAGCCAAATAAGAACAATCTAGAGAATAAGCTTATCAAAGGGAGCTAAAAAAAATGAAGATGAAGAAGAAGACACCTGAAAGTGAAAACTGTTGATGCAGCATCCCATCCGCCAGAATAACGGAACCATGACCTTTTGAAACTCCACCATGTTAATTGCTTCCAGAATCTCTTCCAACTCGCCCAGGAACATTACCTCCTTTTGGCTATTTGTAATTGGCCAGTATTTCAACAATCCATTTATCACAGAGCTAGTTAACTTTGGTTCCTTCTCTAGAAACTGTGTAATACAGAATGACAATTGCTGAAAGTATACCCCCAATGATTTTGGCTTGTGCAGAGGTATCAAAGCCCTCCACAGAAAGATCTTGTGCTCCTCCTTCAAAGGCAATGCAAACCCACTAATCACACTCCCAAAAATCTCCAACAACTCAGCAATCCCATTATGCCGCTCAGTTTCAAATACAAATCGATAAAAGATATTGCTTATGCTCCTCCTTATAAAAGGCCTGTGAACCATGAACTTGCCGTAAATCCTATGCAGAATAGTTTTCAGACACTCTCTTTCTCTTGGGTCCTCAGAATCAAATAGGTCTAGCAATCTCGAAATAAATGAATGATTTATATACTTTTTCCCTACCTTTGCTTCAAGGGAAGAAGAAGTCACAAATTTAAGCAGTAGGTCATACACAATTTGTAGATGTGACCAAGCAGGATCGAACATTGGTTCATCATCATCATTTTCGCTACCACTCAAGTTAGACCTATAATTAGGAGGAAAGACCCTAAACAGGTTATTAGCACACATTTTACACATTGCCAAGATTGCGGGTTCTGTAAACCTCGGAGGTCCAGAAGCAACAAAGTCAACAAGCTCTATCAATGTTAGGCGCTTAAGATCTTTCTCTGTTGTATTCTTACTTGGGTCAGTGAAGTCAAAAACCACACAACAGAGACTCACCTTACTGATAAAGAGATTCAATTTTTCTGAACTAGGAACATCTTTGAATGCTAACAGAGGCTCAATTCCAGCAACCACACTTGCCGGAAACACTGCTGATGACATCCGTTTGACCGTATTTGGCCGGCCCGAAACCATTGTCCCACTGCTGGTGCGTTGAAAATTTCTGCGTGGAGAGACCGAATCATTGGCAGAACCACTCCTTGCCAAATCAACATGCTCGGATTTCGATGACTTCCGAGGGAGTTTACTGAGAAATTGCTTCAACATTGCAACACAGTCGATTAATAAACCATAAACCCTTAGATGAGAACCATGTCGATTGATGAAATAACCCCAGAAAGGGCTACAAACAAACCCTAGACCTCCGACATAGCTGATTCAAACTCTAGATCTGGACGCAAATGCCCTAAATTACAACATAATTTGGACGAAGAACAGATCTTAGAAATATCGCTAAAATCGATAGCTATAATCAGCTCAGTCTACTGAAAAATTGCTTCCACATTGCAACACACACGATCGATGGATGACACATAAACCCTTAAATCAGAACCATGGTTGATAGAATAAACAACCCAGAAAAGGGCTAAAATAAAACCCTAGATCTCCGCCACAGCTGATTGAAACTTGAGATCTGGACGCAAATGCCCTAAATTACAACACTCACAACATGATTGGAATAAAGATCAGAACTTGGAAACGCAATGATCAGATCTTCGAAAGATTCTTGTGAAAAGAGATTAATAAATAATGCATGAGAGAATTGCAGATACTCATCACGCATTCGGAAAAAAGGCAAATGAGAAAAACCTATAGATTCTGATTGTCACAATATTAGAGAGAGAAAGTGAACACGAGGACCTCCCAAATGTAACATTTGAATCTCAAAAGCTGAGATATATGTGATCTATAGATACAGAGGGAGACACAAAATGAGAGAAATTTCAGATGCTGATTATAGAAAGAACGAGAAAGCAAAAGATGCAGAGAGAGTAACGTGGATATTTCAAATCAGAAATATAAGTAAAGAAAATGCGCAGATACGGAGCGAGAAAAATGAGGAAAGTGTCGGTCAGAAAGTTAAATGTGGGTATGAGAGAGAAAGAGAGAGTCACAGAGAGGGAGAGAATGGGCCACATAATCCAAGTTGATGTTAAAGAAAGGTGGATCTAGGCCCAGCTTGTTGGAAAGAAACGAACAGAAAATAAAGGAATGGGAGGAGTATGATTTTCTTTTTTCTTTTTGTGTTTGCTATAAAATTTTTGATGTGTTGAATGAAAGAAAAAAGAAAAAGGAAAAAAAGAATGATGTGTTGTGTTTGTATAAAATATTGGAAACAAATGAAATGAAATGGGGGTAAATATTGGGTGTGAGAGCTTCCGACGTCATTGATATGTTCACACAATAAAAATACACTACTCAATAAATTGAGTCCATTGTCGTCATATACAATGGTGATAAATTGATATGATACATTATTGACACGTCCGCCCAATAAATTGAGTCCATTTTGTCCCACCATATATAATGGTGATAAATTGATATGGTGATATAATGTGATTTTATTGGGTAAGCATACCAATAAAGTGATATGTTCGGTATAGAGATTTATAAGAGCCCACTAAACTCATCAATAATAATTTGAGGAGTTTTAATTGCAGTCGCGGTTAGGATTAGTATCTAAGTTAAATATTTTATAAGTTATCCTAATATTCTTAGCAGATTAACACGTGACATTTAAAATCTATTTACGGCTTGTATTAAACTACCTCAACTAATTTAAAGAAAGTTTGAAAGCTGCACAGTTTTGAGATAACAAAAATTTACCAAAAACTGCACTTTTTTTAAATAAGGAAAATTCTTCGTACTTTAACTACATTAATATCGTTCTCTCTCTCTTATCTTTTCCGAAAAAGATCACTCACTCTCTCTTCTTTTGCTTATTCCCACTATTAGGGGAATATTTTGGACAAAAAATGAAGGTGCAAATTAAAGAAAGTCCTTTTTTAAATAAGGAAAATTCTTCGTACTTTAACTACATTAATGTCGTTCTCTCTCCCTTATCTTTTCCGAAAAAGATCGCTCACTCTCTCTTCTCTTGCTTATTCCCACTATTGGGGGAATATTTTGGACAAAAAATGAAGGTGCAAATTAAAGAAAGTTTGAAAACTATACCATTTTGAGATTAAAAAAAATTACCAAAGTTTGAAAACTGCACCTTTTTTAAATAAGAAAAGTTCTTCGTCCTTTAATGTTATCGTCATTTTCTCTCCCTTATCTTTTCCGGAAAAGATCGCTCCCTCTCTCTCCTCTTGGAAATTGTAATTGCAAAATTGCTCTAGTTCATTATCTTTTTCTAAAATCTAAATTGCAAAATTCCACTATTTTTTCTCTCTTTTTCTGAAATTTAAATTACAAAATTCATCTATTTTTTGAAATTTAAACTGCAAAATCTATTAGAGGCTTTTAATTTGCACATTCATTTTTGACCCGAAATATTCCCCTAATAGTGAAAATAAGCAAAAGGAGAAGAAAGGAGCAATCTTTTTCGGAAAAGATAAGAGAGAGAGAACGACATTAACATCGTTAAAGTATGATGGATTTTCTTATTTTAAAATAGTGTAGTTTTTAGACTTTGGTAAATTTTCTTTATCTCAAAACGGTGTACTTTTCAAATTTTCCTTAAATTAGTTGCCGTGGTTTACAACAGAACCAATAGATATATTTTAAATGTCACGTGTCAATCCGCAGAGAATTCAACTTAGGATAACTTAGGAAGATTTAACTTAGAGGATCCAATTATATTTCATGGGACTATGCAAATATTAATTTTTTAGACAAAAATACCCTTTTGAATTATCTAACTTTTATTATTCTCTCATCTTTTAATCAATTCATATGGGGATGTGTGCGGGTGTGTGTGTATATATATATACACACACACTAAAATAACTAGTGTCATGTGAATGTATTCTAAAAATGGAAAACAAATATAAATAGGGGAAAAAAAAAAAAAAAGCAAGAAAAAAATCCCAAAAGAATAAAAAGAAAGGTTAAAAAAATAGCGAGAAAATAATAGTACAAGATGGATTCTGAGATCGATTAATATATTTCTTCTTACAACTATCCTTGAGTGAATAAATTCTTTCCTTTTTTTTTTTTCTTTCCCTTTTTGTTTTTTCCTATATATATATGTTTCTTTTTGTTTTTATTTTTAAATTTTACAAGTATCTTTGTATAAATGGATTTTTTTTTTTTAAAAAAGGAAATAATTCATTCACTAAGGATAATTGTAAAAAGAAATATCTATGTATATATGCACGTGGTGTAAATCCAAGTTATTAAAAAGATTATAATAATTTTTTAAAAAAATTATTTGATCAGGGATTAAGTTGATAAACTATAATTTATTTGATTTGATGCTTTTCAATGTGAAGTAAGGAATACGAAAATATATCTTCATATGTCATTTATATCACAAATGAGCTTCTATTTTTAATTTGCGTTTTTGTTACTTGTATTAAATATTTTTTTTAGTTTTATCATACTTTTATCTATAATCATTCTATGTAGAAATCTTTTAGTAAAACAATTCCTTTATAACATTTTTGTTAAAGCTTTTCTTTCATGGATTCAAGTTAACTTTCAAAAAAAAAATACAATGGAGAAAGAAAAAAAAAAAAATAGCAATCCAAAACTCACATAAACATGTTGACGTACAAATATTATCTAAATTAAGCAAAAATGTTTTAAAAATTGAATTAACAAATGTAAATCAAATGAAAACCAAAACAATTGAAGGCTCCGGATAATATGGACAACCAAACTCAAGTCCTCATTAAAAAAGAAAAAGAAAAAGAGTACATGTAGTCAAAAAGAAGAATACAACAAAATACTCATATTCAAATAAGTACTTCAACACGAATACAGGAAAACTCAATAATTGTCAATTTGTTGAACGAAACCTAATAATCCTTTGATCATCACTGAAATATAATTGATAATATATATATATATATATATGCAAAATGCTGGAAGGTTATTCCTTTTGTGCTTGATCCACGTGGATCAAGCACAAAAGGAATAACCTTCCAGCATTTTGCATTATAAGAAATAAGACACTTCTTCTTTCTATAACATTATAACATTTTTGTTAAGATTTTCCTTTCATGTACTCAAGTTTCTTGAGATGAACGAACTTTCAAAAAATAAATACAATGGAGAAAGAAAAAAGAAAAAATAGCAATTCAAAACTCAAAGAAACAAGTTGACATACAAATACCATCTAAATTTTTTCAAGAAAAGGGACCAAGAAAAATTAAGCAAAAATGTTTTAAAAATTGAATTAACAAATGCAAATCAAATGAAAACCAAAACAATTGAAGGCTTTGGATAACATGAACAACCAAACTCAAGTCCTCATTAAAAATAAAAATAAAAATAAAAATAAATATATTCTAAAATTGTAAATAATTTTTTGAATTTCTAAACTTTTTTCATATCTTTCTGTTGGAATATATATATTTTTTCTTTTAAGGTTTTTTTCCTTTTTTATATTTGAGAATATAAAGAATAAAAAGTATAATTAATTTGATTTAAAAATACTTTTAATATCACTTTCATATAAAAATTATGGTTTAAATATATACATATATAAAAAGAGTTAAAGATCTGAACAATCAAATATTATAATTAATCGGATTAAAAACATGTTCTTTTGGCCTTCCTCAACTTTTTTCATAAAATCTTAGGTCATATATAATATATACATTTATAATCTATACTATTAATGAGGCATGAATTATTATACTTTAATGAACTTTTTCACGAGACAAAAAAAAAAAATGTTAAGAAATTCTTTACACTTTTAGAATAGAAAATAGTATATATATATACCTAAAAACTTATACAACATCAATTATAATTATTATGGGATTTCCTCAGGAGTTTACACATCAGAAATCAAATGTCTAATTTAGATCCTATAATTTTTTAATCTTTTACTAAAATTCTAGATATGAAATGACCTTGTTTAAGATTTTAAATCTTTCAAGTTGAGGAGGACAATTCAGATCCCATGGATGTATTAGATGTTGGTAAAATATATGCTTAATGTGACTTTTAAGATATAACAACATTTATACTAATATGTCATGAGATAATTAACAATATGCTAATAAATCATTAATTAAATATGCAACTCTATATTTAATTAAATATACAAAATAAAGCAATAAAATAATAATAATATGCAAGGAATGAACCTGGACCGAGGCTAGTATTGGATACTATGTCCTTAAGACAGATTCGCCCCGCTATGGTGCTAACGGACTCAGTGACGTCTATCTCCCAGGATACAACGGTTTACATCCACCAGTAGTATCACTACAAACTCGTGGATACGGCGAACCTCCTCCGTGTAATACTCTCTCTGACTCAAAAATGCATCTATATACTATATAAATGCTGAATTGGGTGTAATCCGAACCAAATGGTTCGGACCAATCTTAATATAGCTCGATGAAATTGGATTAGGATCGAAGTGGCTCGAACCACTTAACCTAAGGTTTGAACCTACTTGGGTTGGGTTCTAGTCTAGAGAGGGAGATAGAAGAAAATGAAAATGAAATGAATTGCAAATGATCTAAAGGGGGGTATTTATAGAAACAGAAATGCCTTTTCGAATAGGGTGCGTCTTTTCATCATTGGACACAACCATTGCAATAGGTTGCAATGGTTCACATGGTGTCTATTCACCACTAGACACATCCATTCCAATAGGTTGCAATGGTTCACATGGTGTCTGTTCACCAATAGACACATCCATTCCAATAGGTTGCAATGTGCCTTTTCGAGTGGGTGCAACTATGGGTTATGATGGTTCGGAAAAAGGTGTAACCCTTTGGAAAAAACTAAAAGTGGTTTTTTAATTTAAAAGGTGTAACCTTTTAGAAAAACTAAAAAGTAGTTTTTTTAATTCAAAAAACCAACCACCCAAAAACCCCACTCATTTGTGAAACCCATTTAAATAAGCCCAGCCCAAAATTAGGCCCAATCCAAAATTCCAAAAAAGAATAATTTGGACTTTACAATTAGGCCCAAGCCC